TGTACAGAGAAACCTAGACTCCACATTCTTCTACACTGACGGCTCATGTCTTTCAAATCAAACGGGCGCGGCAGCCGTGGGCCCGAACATTAGATACAAAATACGCCTGCAAGACCATGTCACTATTTTTTTCAGCAGAAGTTCACGCTATTCAAACGGTAGTCCGTCATATACAAACACTTCACATTGAACAGGCAATAATCTGCACCGATTCCAAATCTGCCCTTCAGGCTATAGAAAGAACTGATAACGTCACCCACTACTGCATCCAAAATATCCACAAAATGCTACTAGAACTAGACGAAAGTCAGCATATAACTTTTCTTTGGGTGCCAAGTCATTGTGGCATCGCAGGGAATGAGCTAGCAGACACCCTTGCTAAGGAAGGAGCAATGAGAGCAGACCCTAGTGGGGTGCCTCTCTCGATCGGGGACGTCTGCCACAAACTCCGAACAAAATTTAATACTTACCTACAAAACAAATGGAATCAAACTCACTCTCCTCATTTATATGCGATCAAGCAAAATCTTACATCCTGGACAACTTGTAACCAGCCAAATAGGATTCGCGAGGTTACACTGGCAAGGCTACGATGCGGACATACTCGTTTCACCCACTGTTATCTTTTCGAAAGGACGGACCCACCAATATGCCAAACATGCAACACACGCATTACGGTTGAACACATTCTAATCGGATGCACAGCCCTCCGCAACGAACGAAAACATATCAACAACCACCTTACAAAATATCGCCTCAGAAACGATCTTCCGACTCTTCTCGGAGATGATCCAGCACTAACTGATCTAGTACTTGATTTTGTCTTAAACTCACCTTATTCCGACAAACTGTAAAGTATGCACCATTACTTGACCTCCTTCTCGCTATCATCGCAAGGGACTGTCCACATACTCTGGGACTGTCCCTTCACCCACTGCACAACGACGACCAGCGGCCAAGGATTCTTCAGTCACGGACCCGGCCGCTGAACAGCGGCAGCGGCCGGGTTTGGGCGACCACGGGCCCGGGTACAGCAATCGGCCTTCAACAGCGGCAGCGACATATCCCCCACTCTTCAAACCATTCCTATCATCCAACTTTATCGTAACATCGTAACCCTACCATTCACAAACTTCCTCCTTCCCTCCCCTCACAAACATCAATTTAACGGTAAGTCTCACTGTCATTTATGTGTCTTAACCCTAGAACGCCTAGGGGGGGGGTTGTATCAACCCCCCCCCTGAGGTTTTTCGGAAATAGTGCAAAAACGGCGGCGCGCAGCGCCGCCAAATTTTGGGTACCTTATGGGGCAACCTTTGCGCATCTTTTGCCGAAAAAAAATTGATCGGGTCATGTCAGGTCACGGAGTTATGACGTCATAAGAGGTACAGCCTCCGGCCGGATTTTCACAAACTGAGTGCCAATGCCCGAGGTTTCCTGCCGGTGGTACGGACATCGGTTGATGGATCGTGATGAAACTTCCCATGCATGTTGGGGCAAGTATTGGCTATCATATGGTATAAGAAATTTGACCGGGTCAGGTCAGGTCACGGAGCTATGACGTCACAAGAGGAACAGCGTCCGGTACTATTTTTGAAAAGCGCCCGAACCACTATTTTGCTAATTCTTGTCACCTCAATGGGAATATGCAGCAATATTAGCTTCTACAGGGAGCAAATGGACCTCCCAAATCCAAAAATACAATCAGATTTCAAAAATTTAAATTTTGATTTTTCGAATTTCTGCCGCCGACTGTGAACTTGCCGACTTCCGGCGCTCCCAACGCGCCATTTTTAGAGCTAGGGAAACGAAATACATACCAAACGATAGAGAATTGATCAAGGAACACGATAGTGAAGGTTTCAAGTCGATATCTCCCACCGTTTTGCCGCAATCGCCGCCGAAAGTTGAAAAAAGTCTATTTTTCCGAAAATTTGACCTTTGACCGGTCAAAAGTAGGTCAAATGTTGACCTAGGACCAAAAAATATACCACCAATCGCGAGATCTCGGCGAGAGCAATCCGTTGGTCTTTTCCGCTAAGCTCTACGACCTTCCGTTTCGAAACGCCAGGGGGGGGGTCGTAACAACCCCCCCCCTGGTCGTTCGTGTTATGAGAAATGGCCTGGTCGTGCGAGGGTTAACGTAAATTCATGGGTTTTTCCCCATATTCATGGCATAGTACATGGATATGGGTTTTCCCATGTTGTCTTGCAGTAAAAGTGGCCACCGGTCTTAGTTAGGACGGCAGGTTTTCTTTTGCGCGGCGTAGTTAGGTCGCCGCCCTCCTCGCGAGGCCGGTAACGTAAGTTAGGGCCACTAAAAAAAAAAAAGAGAAGCAGCTCTGTTCGTGGTGACATCGAACTGTTTGCTGCTGAATACAGGTGCCGTTTCAGAATTTTCACTTTATTTTCTGGGTTGGTCGCTGCTATTGTACCTCGTGCAGGTGTTGCCCAACGTTTTTTGGCATGTAAAATTTTCACCACTTTTTTTCGTCAGGCTCTCAACGTCTCATCGATTACCTGCCGTACTAAAGCAGGTTGTCATCTCATAGCCTGTTTCGTTGGCTATCAAATGGACCAAAAAGCATAGTCGAACTTAACTAAATAGTGGAGTCATGGTGAAAAATGGTTATGGTGTCACCATAAACCCGAATTCCTCTACACCTGTTTTTCCGTTTTTTTTTTCTCCAATAACCAAGCTGATATACCGTAACAATGTTGCTGACTGACGTCAGTGACGTCACAGCCGTCCAGCGAGCTGTCATCGCCTCGGTGACCCGGTCCGAAATGTCAGCCCCCCCCCCCCCCTCACCTGGGTGCCGGCCCCTGCTGGTCCAAAGGTGAGCTGCCCCGCAACGCCCACGCCCGGAGGGTGATCGGGGTGCTGCGGAGCGGCGCTGCATGACCAGCTCTGTCCCGCTGCAGGCAGCACGTGCAGAGAGTGCAGGTGAGGTGACCCAGACCGCCGAGTTGGTTTGTTGTTTTGCCTTTGCATTGTTATGTTTTCAAACAGCGACAAACAGCATTTGAAAACTCACTAGAAAGTGTATCGAAAGTGCAGCGTTTATTATGACGTCACCAGAGCTTTTGGGTCTTTATTTATTTTTGCTCCCGACTCGGCGGTCTCGGCGGTCTGGTGTTTGCATATGCATTTCCTATTTCAGTAGCGTTTATAATTTAAAATGTCATGTTGCAAGTTCCTTTTTCTTACCCCTATAATATACGTCACGAGCGAGGATGATACGTAGCGAGGATGATACGTAGCGAGGATGATGACACGTAGCGAGGATGATAGCCAGGCCGACTGCAATTTTCAGTGTTGTTTTATCAACTTTACATTTCATGTGAAACCTTATTTTCGTTTGACGAGCAAAATTCGTGGCTAAAATGCTTGCACTCGCTGACAGCTCGTTCCTCGGAGATCAAATGCAGAGTGTCACAGCTGGCGTCATAAGAAGGATGAGAAAACAAACATCATGCAGGGCAACCTCTTGTAAGTAAAAATTCGTTTTCTTCTGATACACGACTCACTGTTGATGCACTTTTTCTTGATACATTTGCTGGGCGCTTAGATGAAGGATAACATTTTATTTGAAACTCCGTAATACTCTGTTGCCATCAAGTTATAAGAATAAAACTCGAATATTTTGCTAACGACGCTACAGGAAATACTGCTTCATTGCTAGCAGCTTCACAACGTTATCTGTTCTTCTGTAACCCGCGCGGGGCTGGGGTCTCCAGCCAAACGCGCGGGGCTGGGGGGGGGGGGGTAAATTTTACCCCCCCCCCTGTTATCTCCCGAACTAATGGTCCGATTTGAAAAATTCAAACGCCAATCGAAAGATCTCATCACGAACAACTAAAAACATGTACTTAATTTTAAGTTTGAGGTCAAGGTCAAGGTCAGGTCAAGGGTACAAATTGCAAGTTCCTACAGTATCGGCCTTGCACCGTAGTTGCCGAAGGATGGAGTCATGGACTGAGACTGATCGCCCAAAACGTGTTCTTATGCTACCAAGACAATATTCGTTGCATACAATATCATTCAGAGGTCAAGGTCAAGGTCAGGTCAGGTCAGGTCAGGTCACCAAAAACAAAATATAGAAAAGGGCATGTGCGATACATGTTTTATGGGTCATTTTACTAATAGAATTCAATAGGCACACTCAATAAGTGATATGGACCACCTCTGGATGAATTTCAGGTCGAGGTCAGGTCAAGGTCAGGTCAAGTGAGGTCAAATTTTGAAGTTGGTTGTTAAGGCCTAAAAAGGTGTCTATCTGATGCAGTTTTTCACGGCGAGTCGAATGGTGCTATTTTTGTTTCCGTACGAGGTCTAGAACTTCCAAAAAAGTCATTTTTCAAAATTTTTGTGTGTCGTGACGTCATACAATTTTGAATAACTCCCACATTTTTGAACTGATTCTTCTAAAACTTGGTATGTAGGTGCACATAGACCACTTCTCTGACATATATTCCGTTTTTTTCGATACACTCAAAATTTTGGATTTTATAGCTATTTTCCCAAAAAAGTCAGTTTTTTGAAAAAGTTTGGGCCAAAATCCAAAATTTTCAAAAAACCGAGATAGCCATTTGATAGACAAAGTAGAATTACGTATATCCTTTTTGTTACGTCTTGATTCCTTTAAAAATGAAGATGTTAGCGGCGTTTGAACTTTTGCCGTTTTTGAGGCGAAAATTGCGAACATGACGTCACTAAAACGTCAATTTCTCAAAAATTTTCCGACGGATTTCGCTCAAATTTTCAGGGAACGTGTCAAATTGATGTAAGAAAAGGTACTGAAAGTTTGGCGTCGCTGCGCGCCGCCGTTTTTGAGATATTGCAAAAATTCGCGAAGGGGGGGTAAAATTTACCCCCCCAGCCCCGCGCGGGGTAATTTTCAACCAAACCACTTATCTGCTACTGTGAGTGATTGAAAGATATAAGAAGATGCGATGACAATCATTATCGTATAATTGATGCCAATACTTTCCTCAGATGCATTCATAAGCCTAATATTCATTATTGCACTGGCCAACGCTCAGGCGGAGCTTGAACAGGTGCATTCTATCTTTTTGAAGATCAAGAGGCATGGATTCAATAATCGTCGGCCTCTAGTACATGGATGTAAGCAGAAAATCCTTTTCGAGCATAATGATATAATCAGTTTGTAAACATGCAACGGTGTAATATTTGTATTGCATGACAAATCTAGATATCGTATTAAAATGAACGTCATCACATATGTTATAGTTGTAAAGCGGATTGATGTAACGTTGATAATCCCGACTGCATTTGAGTCGTCCCTAAACCGGTCTAGAATTTGACTATATGGTGACATACCAAATGTCACTCATCCAAGCTTATTTCAGGTGGTCCAGGCGTTGTTGGAGATGAGTGCAGCCGTTTGGTGATGGCTTACAGCCGGATGAGAAAGTGTAAGGACCGGACGTAACAAATTAATTTGAGTGTTTTTTTTTTACAAAAGTGTCATCGGTTTGTTATCTGCCCCCCCCCCCCCCCCATTTCTTTGATAACTTATCGGTATGTTGCAATTTGTAAAACGTAGCATCGAACACTTTAGCAATGTTTCATCTGTCGTACGGCATATTTCCTTGGGAGCAATTTACCTAATTACGTTAGCACTAGTCACAGCCAGAGAAGAGTTTTGCCATTTTTGCATTGATTAGTCGTCTATGTCTCGAACGGTGGGAGGAAGTGCACCTTTAAATGATCACAATGACTAACATTGCAATTAATGATTATAATTGGAATCGTAAATATGCCTAGGAAATTCACCAATAAAAAGTACCGCATTATTTCCACCATAAATATGTTCCATTGCTTCGACAAAAGCTATTTAATTAAAAAGCGCTATTTTTTATACAAAGTCCACTGACTTCACCCTTGCTATCACAGATCCTTGCGTCACGCGATACGGGAACTTCCCCGTTTCTCACAACTCGCAAAAGTTCTTCCGCTGCAGGGGCGACATAGTTACGCTAGAGGACTGTGGCAATTCCTACATCTTCGATCCCGATGTACGCTATTGTGTGCTGAGGAAAAAAGGTGAGTGGATTCGCACACCAATCGACTGGCGCAAATAATGATAAATGGAAGCGCAAATAATTGATGGAAGAAGTATCGTGTAAGAGTTTTGGATGGCCGTATTACTTATTTCCTGGTATGTCTCTCGCATAGAAGTGCAGTTTTTGTAAGGGACGCTCTTTTCGGTTCAGGGAATTACCGTAATACAATAAACTATCCGAGCATGTCTGACTTTTTCAGCTAAAGAAACTTCCAAGAAAGAGAAGAAAAAGCAGACAAATGAAACCCAGAAACGTGATGAGAAATCATCACCACAAAATGAAACATCGTCTCAGCAAGTATGTCCCAACGGCTTCTCCTCAATGCTTATGTTGCAAGAGGATTCAGCTGACAAGGACATCACTGAAGCATGCCGGTAATATCCAGTCACAAGCCGCAATATTATTGTTGTTGACAGTTATGTAATTAACTTCAAACTCGGCGGAGTTAATTTCAGTTTTGTTCATGCATCAGCTAACCGTATATGTTTAATGTATTAAAGATGATATTACGCTTTTATACACGTCTGTTAAAAATATTTGCCTGTCATTGTAATAACTCAAATAAATATTGAAGGAAGTTAAAAAATAAAATCAATCAGTTTGGGAATATTAATTAAAGTGACTGACCCTAAAATTGTTGACAATATTTTCAGTTAAAATGGTTTTTGAGTCAATTTTACAAGAGAAAAAACTTAATATGTTGGGCTTTTATGAAGAAAGTTTTTTTTTGCAAGGTATATTCATTGAATTGTTTTTATGCTATGATGTCGAAAAAAAATATCCGAAACCGGAAATATGACTTTACCGTAACTGGCAGTCCAGCAAACGGTGACTTCCTACCGTGTCCTTGAACGGGCCACTTCGTCATTTGATTCTCCATTTAAAAGCATCGAATCCACACCATGCTGCTCACTTTTTTCAGGAAAAATAAACAATGCAAGCCGAAGCTAGACAAGCTGCGTGAAAGGCAATGTCGCCCCTTCAAATCGTTTCAAACACCGTTAAAATTTATCAAGGCATCAAATATTAACATGCTCAATGTATCTATCAGCAACTCATTTTCACGAGGTGAGTCCCGGCTATCTGCTTGGAAAGAGAGAGAGAGAGAGAGAGAGAGAGAGAGAGAGAGAGAGAGAGAGAGAGAGAGAGAGAGAGAGAGAGAGAAAGAGAAAGAGAGAGAGAGAGAGAGAGAGAGAGAGAGAGTCAGACAGACAGACAGACAGACAGACAGACAGACAGACAGACAGACAGACAGACAGACAGACAGACAGACAGACAGACAGACAGACAGACAGACAGACAGACAGACAGACAGACAGACAACAAACGACTGACGATACATGCCAGACAGAGACAGAGACAGAGACAGAGACAATGACAGAAGACTGATAGTGGGTGACTGCAGGACATCCCCTCTCAGCTGAAGGTCTATGACAGTCTGATTTGATTGTGAGTCTGAGCTGGCGGACTGTCTTTGGCAGAGGCACGATTCTGGTGGGTGTCGGACATCCCCTCGGAGCTGCACTGGCGCTCTCCGGGATACGTGGTGACACTCCAGGACTGTCTGATGCTCTGCCACGATCGGTTCGTCATCGTTGGCACGTGAGTTCTTCGGCACTGTCAGTTGCGTGAATGTCATCTTCAGAGAAAGGTCTATGTTATGGAGCGTAACAGATGTCACCTGACTTGTCCATTTGTCCAATGGCGACTAATGGACATCAATACGATGTTGATGACATGCAGGACCTGAATGCCTTTTTGTCATGCAAGCATGTACTAATGTTAAGATGTGAGAGACCGCCATTAGAAATTTGATAGGGACCTATGCATTTCATTAACCCGCGCCCGGCTGGGGGTCCTGGATTTCCACGCCCTGCTGGGGGGGGGGGGGTGTTTGAACACCCCCCCTTCTAACTCGGCTCCTGGGCCACGTAGCGATACGCGGAAGGCGGCGTTCGAAAGAGCGTCAAAAATAATGACGAAATCACTTCGGTCAATTTTTTGGTCAGGTCAAAGGTCAGGTCACCAGAGGTCATTGAAGGCAAAATTTCGCCGATTTCCAGGTCGAATGTCGACAATTTCCAAGAAGCCAACGCATAACTCGGGAACAAATAGAGCTACAGCGCCGCGGAAAAGCGCATTCGATAGCCCTATTAACGCCCTTTCTGACTAATTTTCTCAGATTTGACCTAACGTCAACGGTTTTGCCTGCAGGGGGCAAAAACTGCAAAAATAGCCGATTTTTTCGGAAACAGTTTTTCTGCAATAACTTTTGACCCAAGCCTTTTACGAACTTACTTTTACCGGCATCGTGTTCCTCTCGTCAAGACGCATCGAATGACCTATAACTTGACCTTGAAAGGTCAACTTGAAAATTTGACCTCAGGTCGAGGTCATGACCTGACCGGAAAGGGTCATGTTGCATATCAGTCGATCCGTATCGTCGAGCTGAACAGATCTAAGGCGTTTTCATCGCTCTAGCATGCCTCTATCAAAAGTTATTTGCGAAAAACTGTTAGATACCATTCGTGACCTAAGATGACCTCAGGGCATAAACAGGGGTCACTGACACCATTTTCATGTTCAGTGTGTCTAAACCACTTGTAATTCAGTGTTTGGGAGTGTTTATATTGTCTTTCGTCCAAAAGAGGCGCATTTCAATTTTCTTCCATTGACTTATAATGGGGAGGTCGCAAAATTGACCTGACCTTAGGTCATCGATATCAAAATTCTGAGATATACATTTTGTACATGCTATTGTTCTTAGCAATCGCTGAAAGTTTCAAAGCGATCGGTCACTCGGTGTAGCTATGACAGACATTGAAACTTTTTATGAGGTGAGGTCACTTCAAGTGACCTGGTGACCTGACCTTGAATGACCTTGGTCTGAAATTTTCACAACATGTGTAGAATTGATGTATGATAAGGTGTACCAAAAACGGCGGCGCTCCGCGCCGCCGTTTTTGAGATATTCGCGAAAAACCACAAGGGGGGGTGTTCAAACACCCCCCCCCAGCAGGGCGCGGGTTAACCCGGCCGGGCCCGGGGGGTAATCCCAACCACCGCAGCCCGGGGGGGGGGGCGTTTTTCGCCCCCCCCCCTGTCTAACTCCGTAAATAAGGGAGATACGAAAAAAAAAAGCGATACCAAACGAAAGGTCCTTACGAGACGATTCTAAAGCACCTAAAATTTTTGACCTCAGGTCAATTTTCAAGGTCAGAGGTCAAGGTCAAAGGCAAAAACCGGCACATGTGTAGTGATCTCAAAGTAAGCCTTCTAGAGGACGGCAGGCTGCATCAAACCGGCAAAATTGGGTGTCAAACGAAAGAAGAGAGTTTGAGGATTCCGAAAATGTGCTCAAAATCAAAGGCCAAGGTCAAGATCACGCTCAAAGTTGACCTCAAACCTGGCACTTTTTCGCACATCTTGCGTGCTAACTTCCAAGATGTTTTGAAATGTTTTGAGGCTTATCAGTTCCCTATTTGTGGTTCATCTTACGATACAAGGCTGCTCAAAGGTCAAGGTCACAGAAGAGTATCCCTGCTAGAGGCTATTTCACTAATTCAAGTTAGTTATAATAAATAAGACAATTTTGCCATCCGGAAGCTCTAAATGAAGGCTGAGAGGAAAATCGATGCCAGATTCGTGATCAGCGGATACAAATCTATCATAAACGACCTTTCATGTGTCAAGGCCAACCAGAGGTCATTCGAGGTCACATGAGGTCAACATAAAATTTGACCTTTTCCGAACAAAATGTATATCATTCGACGCGGCTTGACAAGGCGAATGCGATGGTACCGCTGCCGTAGCTCTAGGACCATTTTTGTCGAAGTTATTTGCGAAAAACTAAAACCACATTTCGGGGTCGTTGACCTGACCTCTGACCTCAGGTCACCAAAACCATTTTTCTATTTTTCTCTAGGTCACACGCTACACAACCGTGCTAGTAATTTGTCTTTATCTGTAAAACTCTATTTTTAGTAGCTATTTGAAGTTTGCGTCTGTGACGCCGAAGTTTGCCGTGCAGGGGTCGAGAAAAATGGACCTTGTGACGTCATCAAGGGGGCTAGGTCCAAACTTTTTACTTCAGAAGATGTCAAATTGATGGGAGAAAAGGTACTGAAAGTGTCGCTTTCCTATCCCTAAGCGTTCGGGAGCTATCGCAAATATTCGCCAGGGGGGGGGGGGGCGAAAAACGCCCCCCCCCCGGGCCCGCGAGGGTTAACACCGATTGATCTCCCTTGACAGAGCAACATGCGCATGTGGAAGCATTCGCGAAGAGAACGCTGATTTCAACGTCTATGACTGGGTGAGGGATCAAAACTCTAAACGACTTCAGGAAAAGGAGGGATTTCTCCTTCATGATAGAGAAACGTTCAAAACAGGTGCGTCTATGAAAACTGATGTGTTGAAGTAGGACGAAATAAGCCGTTTCCACGACAGCCTATCTGGCGAATGCACCTAACCTTCTCGCCAAATCTGCACCTTTGATAACAAATGATGCACCTCTTTGATAATAACTATCTTCATATAATGGTTGTATTTCAGTGTTCTAATCGCTGATAATGTCGGATGATATGACAAGGCATGATCTATTTGCTTTATTCAGTGGTATCGCTTGTGTTTGACATGGTTCGTCTGGCTCTGAACAGTGGGATGGAGCTGCGGCACCAAGCCAACTGGATGGAACAAGCTCCCTGGGAACACACTCAGCCATTGTGTGCTCGCCTGTGTGAAGACACGCGCTTCACACCTCGCTTTTGGAAGGTAGGGTTGAATAAACAGTCTGTAAATGCGTTGGTGCATGTGAGCTATCGCATCAGTAGCCATGTGTCGGAATAGGAGTGAGTTGAAAAACGTAAACAAATAACAGCTGGCTGCAATTTATCTAAATCAGGTTTCAGAGCGGAGTCATACTGGTGATTCTACGTGAGTCTACGTTTACTACGTCGATTCTCGTACTGTCTACGTCAAAGTTCATGAAATTATATCCCCTCCCTTGCCTGATGTCAAAAGGGAATAGGTAAATGCTACGAGTGTGTGTGTGTGTGTGTCTCTCTCTCTTTTTTCTCACTCTCTCTCCCTCGCTCTCTCTCTCTCTCTCTCTCTCTCTCTCTCTCTCTCTCTCTCTCTCTCTCGCTCTCGCTCTTTCACTTGCTCTCCCCTTCTGTCCGTTTAGAGACGGGTGTCACTGCTCTGTTAGCAACAGGACCTCATCCATCACAGCTCTACCAGTGGAGTCCTGCCATCATCCGACCGTTGGACTCAACGCATTTGCCGTTCTGGATGTCGGCTATTGGACCAAAGCCATACAAATTCTGCTAAAAGGTAAGATCTATCAACTGCGTTGCTTGCATGTTACGGTCCAAACTCCATAGACAAGCGGACATCCACATTTACAAGAGTTAGGCGACGAAATACTCAACTTAACCCTCGCACGACCAGGCCATTTCTCATAACACGAACGACCGGGGGGGGGGTTGTTACGACCCCCCCCCCCTGGCGTTTCGAAACGGAAGGTCGTAGAGCTTAGCGGAAAAAACCAACGGATTGCTCTCAACGAGATCTCGCGATTGGTGGTATATTTTTTGGTCCTAGGTCAACATTTGACCTACTTATGACCGGTCAAAGGTCAAATTTTCCGAAAAAATCAAACTTTTTCAACTTTCCGCGGCGATTGCGGCAAAACGGTGGAAGATATCGACTTGAAACTTTCACTATCGTGTTCCTTGATCAATTCTCTATCGTTTGGTATGTATTTCGTTTCCCTAGCTCTAAAAATGGCGCGTTGGGAGCGCCGAAAGTCGGCAAGGTCACAGTCGGCGGCAGAAATTCGAAAAATCAAAATTTAAATTTTTGAAATCTGATTGTATTTTTGGATTTGGGAGGTCCATTTGCTCCCTATAGAAGCTAATATTGCTGCATATTCCCATTGAGGTGACAAGAATTAGCAAAATAGTGGTTCGGGCGCTTTTCAAAAATAGTACCGGACGCTGTTCCTCTTGTGACGTCATAGCTCCGTGACCTGACCTGACCCGGTCAATTTTCTTGCACCACACGATAGCCAATGCTTGCCCCAACATGCATGGGAAGTTTCATCATGATCCATCAAACAATGTGGGTATCACCGGCAGAAAACCTAGGGATTCGGCGCACACGTTTGGTAACTGTCGGCCGGAGGCTGTACCTCTTATGACGTCATAACTCCGTGACCTGACATGACCCGATCAATTTTTTTTCGGCAAAAGATGCGCAAAGGTTGCCCCAGAGGGTATTAAAAATTTCAGCCCGCTACGACAAGCCGTTTAGCGTGCACTTCGAAAAAACCTCAGGGGGGGGGGGGTTGATACAACCCCCCCCCTAGGCGTTCTAGGGTTAATTATTAAGTAATGGGCACCATAAGGTAGGCCATACAATTTTCTATAGTACCGCATTGTCGCTGCAGTCAAAGGTGTTCTGGTTTTTATGCTATATGCCAAAGAATTTTTGCATGTAATCACCGGTGACACGACATATTTCTGCTTTATTGGGTTGGGCGGTGAAGTCTATGACGTCATCACAATGAAAATGGCTTAGTTTTGTAGAGCATTGAATTTTGATCCCGTCACGACTCTCGCTAGTCCACTTTTTATCATAAATAAACCATTAATTGCGGTACAAAGTCAAAACTAAGCCCGAATCCGCGCCCGCAGCGATGTTGATCAAGACAGCCCATATTCAGCCCAGATTCAGCCCGGATTCAGCCCAGATTCGGGACACCTCTGATCAAGCTGAAACTCGCACACAATGTAGGCCATGACATGCCCAATCCACAGTCCAAGTCATTCGGTGGCACTCCCAGCCGTTTGACCTACAGAGGTCAGCAAAGGTCACGTGGCCCAAATTTGCACAGCAGATTGTGGCCCACCCAGTAGAGCTAGAGCGCTAAAAATGGCACCAATCGACTCGCCAGCATCTAATCTTACTTTCCCAACACTCATTTGACCTCTCAAGGTCATGCGATGACCTAAGGTCATTTGTGGGCTATGTCGAAAATACACTTGCACAGCAGTTTTCGAGTAGATGGATTGACCGAATTCCAAATCAAAGCACATCATCGGGTAGCCCATAGGCCGTAGTAACTTTCCTTGAAAACCGCTTTTCGATATGTGACCCCGTTTGACCTCCGCAGGTCAAAATGTGCAAATAAACGACACTCAATACGTCGCAGCCCGGATTCAGCCCAGATTCGGGACACCTCCGATCAAGCTGAAACTCGCACACAATGTAGGCCATGACATGCGCAATCCACAGTCCAAGTCATTCGGTGGCACTCCCAGCCGTTTGACCTACAGAGGTCAGCAAAGGTCACGTGGCCCAAATTTGCACAGCAGATTGTGGCCCACCCAGTAGAGCTAGAGTGCTAAAAATGGCACCAATCGACTCGCCAGCATCTAATCTTACTTTCCCAACACTCATTTGACCTCTCAAGGTCATGCGATGACCTAAGGTCATTTGTGGGCTATGTCGAGAATACACTTGCACAGCAGTTTTCGAGTAGATGGATTGACCGAATTCCAAATCAAAGCACATCATCGGGTAGCCCATAGGCCGTAGTAACTTTCCTTAAAAACCGCTTTTCGATATGTGACCCCGTTTGACCTCGGCAGGTCAAAATGTGCAAATAAACGACACTCAATACGTCGCAGCCCGGATTCAGCCCAGATTCGGGACACCTCCGATCAAGCTGAAACTCGCACACAATGTAGGCCATGACATGCCCAATCCACAGTCCAAGTCATTCGGTGGCACTCCCAGCCGTTTGACCTACAGAGGTCAGCAAATGTCACGTGGCCCAAATTTGCACAGCAGATTGTGGCCCACCCAGTAGAGCTAGAGCGCTAAAAATGGCACCAATCGACTCGCCAGCATCTAATCTTACTTTCCAAACACTCATTTGACCTCTCAAGGTCATGTGATGACCTAAGGTCATTTGTGGGCTATGTCGAAAATACACTTGCACAGCAGTTTTCGAGTAGATGGATTGACCAAATTCCAAATCAAAGCACATCATCGGGTAGCCCATAGGCCGTAGTAACTTTCCTTAAAAACCGCTTTTCGATATGTGCCCCCGTTTGACCTCGGCAGGTCAAAATGTGCAAATAAACGACACTCAATACGTCGCAGCCCGGATTCAGCCCAGATTCGGGACACCTCCGATCAAGCTGAAACTCGCACACAATGTAGGCCATGACATGCCCAATCCACAGTCCAAGTCATTCGGTGGCACTCCCAGCCGTTTGACCTACAGAGGTCAGCAAAGGTCACGTGGCCCAAATTTGCACAGCAGATTGTGGCCCACCCAGTAGAGCTAGAGCGCTAAAAATGGCACCAATCGACTCGCCAGCATCTAATCTTACTTTCTCAACACTCATTTGACCTCTCAAGGTCATGCGATGACCTAAGGTCATTTGTGGGCTATGTCGAAAATACACTTGCACAGCAGTTTTCGAGTAGATGGATTGACCGATTTCCGAATCAAAGCACATCATCGGGTAGCCCATAGGCCGTAGTAACTTTCCTTAAAAACCGCTTTTCGATATGTGACCCCGTTTGACCTCGGCAGGTCAAAATGTGCAAATAAACGACACTCAATACGTCGCAGTCCGGATTCAGCCCAGATTCGGGACACCTCTGATCAAGCTGAAACTCGCACACAATGTAGGCCATGACATGCTCAATCCACAGTCCAAGTCATTCGGTGGCACTCCCAGCCGTTTGACCTACAGAGGTCAGCAAAGGTCACGTGGCCCAAATTTGCACAGCAGATTGTGGCCCACCCAGTAGAGCTAGAGCGCTAAAAATGGCACCAATCGACTCGCCAGCATCTAATCTTACTTTCTAAACACTCATTTGACCTCTCAAGGTCATGCGATGACCTAAGGTCATTTGTGGGCTATGTCGGTCAATATGTCGGTAATTCGGTCAATCCATCTACTCGAAAACTGCTGTGCAAATGTATCTTCGACATAGCCCACAAATGACCTTAGGTCATCGCATGACCCTGAGAGGTCAAATGAGTGCTGGGAAAGTAAGATTAGATGCTGGCGAGTCGATTGGTGCCAATTTTAGCGCTCTAGCTCTACTGGGTGGGCCACAATCTGCTGTGCAAATTTGGGCCACGTGACATTTGCTGACCTCTGTAGGTCAAACGGCTGGGAGTGCCATCGAATGACTTTGACTGTGGATTGGGCATGTCATGGCCTACATTGTGTGCGAGTTTCAGCTTGATCGGAGGTGTCCCGAATCTGGGCTGAATCCGGGCTGCGACGTATTGAGTGTCGTTTATTTGCTCATTTTGACCTGCCGAGGTCAAACGGGGTCACATATCGAAAAGCGGTTTTCAAGGAAAGTTACTACGGCCTATGGGCTACCCGATGATGTGCTTTGAGTTGGAATTCGGTCAATCCATCTACTCGAAAACTGCTGTGCAAGTGTATTTTCGACATAGCCCACAAATGACCTTAGGTCATCGCATGACCTTGAGAGGTCAAATGAGTGTTGGGAAAGTAAGATTAGATGCTGGCGAGTCGATTGGTGCCATTTTTAGCGCTCTAGCTCTACTGGGTGGGCCACAATCTGCTGTGCAAATTTGGGCCACGTGACCTTTGCTGACCTCTGTAGGTCAAACGGCTGGGAGTGCCACCGAATGACTTGGACTGTGGATTGGGCATGTCATGGCCTACATTGTGTGCGAGTTTCAGCTTGATCGGAGGTGTCCCGAATCTGGGCTGAATCCGGGCTGCGACGTATTGAGTGTCGTTTATTTGCTCATTTTGACCTGCCGAGGTCAAACGGGGTCACATATCGAAAAGCGGTTTTCAAGGAAAGTTACTACGGCCTATGGGCTACCCAACGATGTGCTTTGAGTTGGAATTCAGTCAATCCATCTACTCGAAAACTGCTGTGCAAATGTATTTTCGACATAGCCCACAAATGACCTTAGGTCATCGCATGACCTTGAGAGGTCAAATGAGTTTTGGGAAAGTAAGATTAGATGCTGGCGAGTCGATTGGTGCCATTTTTAGCGCTCTAGCTCTACTGGGTGGGCCACAATCTGCTGTGCAAATTTGGGCCACGTGACCTTTGATGACCTCTGTAGGTCAAACGGCTGGGAGTGCCACCGAATGACTTGGACTGTGGATTGGGCATGTCATGGTCTACATTGTGTGCGAGTTTCAGCTTGATCAGAGGTGTCCCGAATCTGGGCTGAATCCGGGCTGCGACGAATTGAGTGTCGTTTATTTGCACATTTTGACCTGCCGAGGTCAAACGGGGTCACATATCGAAAAGCGGTTTTTAAGGAAAGTTACTACGGCCTATGGGCTACCCGACGATGTGCTTTGATTTGGAATTCAGTCAATCCATCTACTCGAAAACTGCTGTGCAAATGTATTTTCGACATAGCCCACAAATGACCTTAGGTCATCGCATGACCCTGAGAGGTCAAATGAGTGCTGGGAAAGTAAGATTAGATGCTGGCGAGTCGATTGGTGCCATTTTTAGCGCTCTAGCTCTACTGGGTGGGCCACAATCTGCTGTGCAAATTTGGGCCACGTGACCTTTGCTGACCTCTCTAGGTCAAACGGCTGGGAGTGCCACCGAATGACTCGGACTGTGGATTGGGCATGTCATGGCCTACATTGTGTGCGAGTTTCAGCTTGATCGGAGGTGTCCCGAATCTGGGCTGAATCCGGGCTGCGACGTATTGAGTGTCGTTTATTTGCACATTTTGACCTGCCGAGGTCAAACGGGGTCACATATCGAAAAGCGGTTTTTAAGGAAAGTTACTACGGCCTATGGGCTACCCGATGATGTGCTTTGATTTGGAATTCGGTCAATCCATCTACTCGAAAACTGCTGTGCAAATGTATTTTCGACATAGCCCACAAATGACCTTAGGTCATCGCATGACCTTGAGAGGTCAAACGAGTGTTGGGAAAGTAAGATTAGATGCTGGAGAGTCGATTGGTGCCATTTTTAGCGCTCTAGCTCTACTGGGTGGGCCACAATCTGCTGTGCAAATTTGGGCCACGTGACCTTTGCTGACCTCTGTAGGTCAAACGGCTGGGAGTGCCACCGAATGACTTGGACTGTGGATTGGGCATGTCATGGCCTACATTGTGTGCGAGTTTCAGCTTGATCGGAGGTGTCCCGAATCTGGGCTGAATCCGGGCTGCGACGTATTGAGTGTCGTTTATTTGCACATTTTGACCTGCCGAGGTCAAACGGGGTCACATATCGAAAAGCGGTTTTTAAGGAAAGTTACTACGGCCTATGGGCTACCCGATGATGTGCTTTGATTTGGAATTCGGTCAATCCATCTACTCGAAAACTGCTGTGCAAATGTATTTTCGACATAGCCCACAAATGACCTTAGGTCATCGCATGACCTTGAGAGGTCAAATGAGTGTTTGGAAAGTAAGATTAGATGCTGGCGAGTCGATTGGTGCCATTTTTAGCGCTCTAGCTCTACTGGGTGGGCCACAATCTGCTGTGCAAATTTGGGCCACGTGACCTTTGCTGACCTCTGTAGGTCAAACGGCTGGGAGTGCCACCGAATGACTTGGACTGTGGATTGGGCATGTCATGTATCGGGGTTACATGAGCACAGTAAATACGTATTTAGCCGCTAATTCGAATTAGGAACGCATTACCGACTCATGTAGCCACCTGCTAGTACGAATCGGCGATCCGATCCGCGGTTACATGAGCAAAGCAAATACGTATCACGATCGGATTCACCGCTAATGCGAATCAGGAGCGTACTACCGACTCATGTATCCACCTGCTAATACGAATCGGCGGTCCGAACAAAATCCGCTGGGAAAGAGGCTTAGAAGCGAATAGGACCAAGATACGTATTACAGGAACTATTTCTTCGCAAAAAGAAACATTAAAATGCAAAATAATAGGTATTTTTTCATTTTCTTCTTTTGAAATAATATTAAAAAAATATGTCGGTATTTTGTCAAGTTTTCAACAATAAATATAGTGAAAACCAAATAGTAAATATCCACATAATTTCAGTTGAAACATTTTTCTGACAGCACTACAGACGAATCAAGAGAGGCAATTGCCCAATGAGTCAAAGCAAGACAACTTTATGTTCAACTTTTTTTTGTTAAGTTAATTGAGAATGTTTTGAGCAGATTAAATGCAAAAAAGACATAAGATAATAAATTTTTAATTTAGTCACCTCTATTGCTACGGAAGTGCGCCACATTTGTATGCTATTCCGTTTGTAATGCGCATCGGGCCGAGAGCCAAACTAGATCCGTTTGACGTCACTGATACGAATTTGCTCATGTAGTCGGTGCACTGAATGCGTTCTTGGGGAGCTGATGCGAATTAGCGTAGTGCGTATTTGGAACGGATCGCTCATGTAACCGAAACGTCCGAGGCACACGATTCGGGCCGTATTTCACAAGAACTATTCTTTGCTGACTGGAAGCGTCAAAATGCAAAATACTAAGCATTTTTTTATTGGCTGCCCCGTAGAAAATAGCAAAAAAAAATGTTGGTATTTTGGTTTAGTCTTTGCATGTGAAATAAAATGAATGAAATATTTTGATAGATAATTTTTTCTGACCACCCTGCTGTCGCTGCATGGCGAATCAGTGCCCACTGAAACTTTGTTTTCAAGAAACAAGAAAACTTTGTTTTCATTTTTTGATTTCATGTTAATTTTAAATGTTTTTGAGCCTATCAAATGATAAAAGTATTTACAATTTAGCTCAGTCGTCCCGGTAAATGCCGCAACTGCGCCATGACTGTACGCTAATCCTATTCCGTTTGTGATGCGAATTACCGGCCGTCGAGGAGTCAGCCCGGGTGAGCCAAACAAGATCCGTTTGACGTAGATAAAACGAATTAGTCTCATGTAACCGGTGCCGTAGATCCGTTTGTGGGGAGCTGATGCGCATTAGCGTAGTGCGTATTTGGAACGGATCGCTCATGTAACCCCGGTAATGGTCTACATTGTGTGCGAGTTTCAGCTTGATCGGAGGTGTCCCGAATCTGGGCTGAATCCGGGCTGCGACGTATTGAGTGTCGTTTATTTGCACATTTTGACCTGCCGAGGTCAAACGGGGTCACATATCGAAAAGCGGTTTTTAAGGAAAGTTACTACGGCCTATGGGCTACCCGATGATGTGCTTTGATTTGGAATTCGGTCAATCCATCTACTCGAAAACTGCTGTGCAAATGTATTTTCGACATAGCCCACAAATGACCTTAGGTCATCGCATGACCCTGAGAGGTCAAATGAGTGCTGGGAAAGTAAGATTAGATGCTGGCGAGTCGATTGGTGCCATTTTTAGCGCTCTAGCTCTACTGGGTGGGCCACAATCTGCTGTGCAAATTTGGGCCACGTGACCTTTGCTGACCTCTCTAGGTCAAACGGCTGGAAGTGCCACCGAATGACTTGGACTGTGGATTGGGCATGTCATGGCCTACATTGTGTGCGAGTTTCAGCTTGATTGGAGGTGTCCCGAATCTGGGCTGAATCCGGGCTGCGACGTATTGAGTGTCGTTTATTTGCACATTTTGACCTGCCGAGGTCAAACGGGGTCACATATCGAAAAGCAGTTTTCAAGGAAAGTTACTACGGCCTATGGGCTACCCGATGATGTGCTTTGATTTGGAATTCGGTCAATCCATCTACTCGAAAACTGCTGTGCAAGTGTATTTTCGACATAGCCCACAAATGACCTTAGGTCATCGCATGACCTTGAGAGGTCAAATGAGTGTTGGGAAAGTAAGATTAGATGCTGGCGAGTCGATTGGTGCCATTTTTAGCGCTCTAGCTCTACTGGGTGGGCCACAATCTGCTGTGCAAATTTGGGCCACGTGACCTTTGCTGACCTCTGTAGGTCAAACGGCTGGGAGTGCCACCGAATGACTTGGACTGTGGATTAGGCATGTCATGGCCTACATTGTGTGCGAGTTTCAGCTTGATCGGAGGTGTCCCGAATCTGGGCTGAATCCGGGCTGAATCTGGGCTGAATATGGGCTGTCTTGACGGACATCCCGCAGCGGCCGTTAGCACAGTCCCCTATGGTAAACAGGTTAGTTCACATTCCCGCCGCTATGCGAGCGGCGGCGGCGCGACCTGTCCTCATGTCCGCCTTGGACCGTAACCGTGCTGCGTAACCTTCTGTGAATGCTTTACAGGCTATGGATAAGTTTATCTCAGTTCTGGATTGCTGTGATAGTCAATTACAAGGATTGATACAATAATCCATGTGTAACATATTAACCGTTTTTACGACGACTACCTAGTATACATTTGGTGGACAGATTGGTGCAGATTGGGTAAAATTAGGTTCAATGTGTTTTATAAAGGTAATTCGTTTAGATTGTACACACAGAAAAATATTAACACCGTTAGCGGTGTAATTGCACAGTACATATCTGAGCACTTGAGGAAAGTTAATTTAGTCCCTTCCCCGCTTAAATTACTCGCGCTTCTAAATGAACACCAGGAAGAAGGTAATAAAACACTGTTAGGAGGGTTGGGTGTTTTGCTACATGTAGTAAAACACCCAACCCTCCTAACAGTGTTCTTTTACCTTCTTCCTGGTGTTCATTTAGAAGCGCGAGTAATTTAAGCGGGGAAGGGACTAAATTAACTTTCCTCAAGTGCTCAGATATGTACTGTGCAATTACACCGCTAACGGTGTCAATATTTTTCTGTGTGTACAGATGCTAACACACCTCATTGTTCTTTTCTTTTTACATTATTTTCAAGTAAGATCCTGAAATAAATTCATGATATGAAAATATTTATTGTAAAAGAGATTTGGTGCAGATTTGGTCAAGTTAGATGCATTCGCTAAATAGCCCGTCGTGGAAACGGCTATTGTATTTCAGGAAATATGAGTGTGTCGTGGGAGCACGATAAGCCAAGACACGTCACTTGGAAGACAGAGGGAGCAAGGCGGGACATCGTCGGCTGTTTGGGAGCATGTGCTGCCACCGAGGGCGTCAGGTGGATCGCCATCGGGGCGTAAGTCATGAAAGCATCAAGTAGTTGAATAAGAGGATATGGTGCATGTCATGTACAGTCATTTTGACATCACATTCCTGTTGCCAGCATCGCTTAGTCACTTGCTTAGTTTGACCATGGATGAGATAAGTGTGATCTTATCCATGGTTTGACAAAGCTAACGATTTAACACTGTTTCCACAGGGCAGGATGCCAGTGTGGTGTACCTAATCCCTTCCTGAAAAAGAAGGCGGCACTTAAACCGATTGTGGTACACGACTCGAGTCACAAGTACAACAGAGGCCATATCCCATCACGGTGGTTTCTTCTGATCAAATATAACGCAGGTCGGAGAGGTGAGAATCTTATGTCGAATGAGTAGGTATCCACCTTTTAAAGTGAACCAGAGGGCGTTCGGTTAAATCACTGGTGTGCTAGAATTTGAGTCAGAATTGCTAATAACTAAGAAATTGATTCACTTAATCTTAATATAGTTACCTGATTTGAATCTTCTAATGAAAGGCATAAGGTAATACATAAGACACAGCTACGTTGTAGGTATGCGCGTTTGATTACCTACAACAAAATAATGATTTACTTACGTGGCTTTTATTTCAACTCAGTATAAGGATAGCCAAAATTGATGATCACCTTTTACATTATAAGGAATCACAAAATGTATTATATTTCAGTATTCCGGCCCAGGACGTTCGGCAACACCCAAAACATCAGTCCACCTCAGTCTGGGTCCGTTGCAGTAAACGGCACTGCCGCACTGCATTTAACAGAAGCATCTGTTGGTGAGTCGATCAATGAAAAATAGTTTTAACCCTCCCTCTTTATTGATACCCACTAAATAATTCAGCTATATTTATTTAGATTTGATCAAATGATCTATTGAACTCCAAGCTGTGAAACAAACATCCTTCTCCGTTTTAACCATACAAAATTAGGATTGAACAAGATCCTATGGTCGTGCTGAAGGACATACCTTCATTTCAGAATTGAATATGAGAAGGACAACTTTACAAAACATGAAGAGATTCGGCTATAACCGAATACGCAGTAGTTTTGTGCCTTCAACCGGTAAGCAAAATAGGCAAGCAATCAAATTCATACGCGTACCTGCACTACAATGTATAATGCAATAGCACATCATGACTGCGTGTTTTCGTTGCATTAAAAAAATGGTTGGTGCAGTTAGCCTCTAATATTTGATCCTCATAAGCAATATCATCTGAGGGTCAAGGCACTTACGACATATGATACGGGTCCCTAAGTTCTAATTGTAGAAGCATGCATCTAATACTTAAATGCAATAAAAACTATGTAAATTAACGGTGTTTATAATTTTCAGCCTCATCAAATCTCAACCAGGATATTCAGAGCTCGGGGAGTTCCTCAAATAAAGTTAAAGAAACCTTTTCGAACAAAACCGGGCAGCCTGCTCGCATACTCGAGGATATCAAATCTTATATTGGTGAGTCGCTTTCGATCGTGCGAATGATCAGTCGTACTACCGAGTTCAGCAGCATTCTCAAAATACATTCAATTTTCCCTAACATTTTGACAATTAATGTTTATAACCCGCGCCGGGCCGGGGGGTGTGCGAAAAAACCCCTGTGGTTTTTCGCAGATATCTCAAAAACGGCGGCGCGGAGCCGCCGTTTTTGGCACACCTGTTTGTGCATCTTTTCCGCGCATGTTGTGAAAATTTCAGACCCAGGTCGCCTTAGGTCAGGTCACCAGGTCACGCCAAGTGACCTCACCTCAGAAAAAATATGAATGCTCGTCATAGCTACACCGATCGATCGATTGCCTTGAAACGTTCAGCGATTAATAAGAGCAACAGTATCTATAAAATGTATATCTCGGAATTTTGATAGTGGTGACCTAAGGTCAGGTCAATTTTGCGGCCTCTCCATTAAAAGTCAATGGGAGAAAATTGAAAAGCATCTGTTTTGCACGAACGCCATTCTAGACACTCTCAAACATCGAGATGTAGGTACAATTGACACACTGAACCGGAAAATGGCAACTGTGACCCTTGGTTATGTCCCCGAGGTCATCTCAGGTCACGAACAGAATCTAACAGTTTTTCGCTAATAACTTCTGATAGAGAAATGCTAGAGCGCTGAAAACGCCTTAGCTGTGTTCGGCTAGACGTTGCGGATCGACTGCTATGCAACATGACCTTTTCCGGTCAGGGCATGACCTTGACCTGAGGTCAAATTTTCAAGTTGACCTTTCAAGGTCAAATTATAGTTCATTCGACGCGTCTCGACGAGAGGAACACGATGCTGGCAAAAGTAATGTCATGGCTCTTTTGAGTCAAAAGGTATCGCCGAAAAAACGTTTTTCGTAAAAACGGCTATTTTTGGAGTTTTTGCCCTCTGGAGGCTAAACCGTTGACCTGAGGTCAAATCTGAAGACATTATTCAGAAAGGCCTGTACAAGGGCTATCGAATGCGCTTTTCCGCGGCGCTGTAGCTCTATTGGTTCCCGAGATAGCCGTTGGCAGTTTCAAAAATGTTGAAATAGTCAACATTTTACCTTTGGTGACCTCTGGTGACCTGACCTTTGACCTGACCCAAAAAATGAACGAAGTGTTTTCGTCCCTATTTTGGACGTTCTTTTGATTGCCGCTTACCGCGTGTCGCTACGTGGCCCAGGAGCCGAGTTAGAAGGGGGGTGTTCAGACACCCCCCCTCCGGCCCGGCGCGGAATCTCAGAGCACTGGCCCGGCGCGGGTTAACATTGAAAATGATAAGACCCGGAAATCAAAATAGTACAATGCAGCAGCCGCAGCGATTTCTGGGTATCTCTGGTCTCCAAGTCCTAAATTTCGATTAAATGTGAAAGAAATAATAGTTAACCCTCGCCGGCCGAGGGGGGTGTTCAGAGTTCAGAAATAATAGTTAACCCTATGGGGGGTGCCGCCCCCCATAGGGTTTTTTCGCGATAGCTCCGAGTACGCTGGCGATAGAGAGCTGAAACTTGGCATACCTGACCTTTGATTCAAGCCGGATCTTTTGACACCAACCGCATTTTTGGGTCAGGTCAGGTCACTGACCTATGACGTCATAAGTGAACCTCTGCACGGTCTTCAGATGTCGCAACTTCGCAACGCCCTCACTGCCAGAGGAGATGTCACAGGGAAATGAAACTTGCAGGATCTAGTATCCATTATGAGTCTCACAACTTGTATATCTCGGATTTTTCCTAAAGGTCATATGAGGTCAGGTCATTTTCGTGACCTCACCATTATAAGTCAATGGGGAAAAACACAAACTGCTATTCTGGCGCTGGGAACGATCTCCAACTATCTCAAGCACACAGAATCGTGATTTTATGCACTCCTTGCAAGGTAAGATGCGTCACTTTTGCAATGTTGACCTTGCGTGAAGTCATTTATGACGTCATCAAGGTCATATTAGTTTTTCGTCAATAACTCTTGATCAAATTGAGCTATCGAGTCGGGAAAGCCACCAATGGACTCAGGAAGACCTGCCGAATCGAATGATATGCGACATGACCTCTTTCGACCAACTTCGTGACCTGGGGGTGCTGACCTGACCTTGACCTGAGGTCAACACCCCAAGTTGACCTGACCCGGACAAAAAGTATATCATTCGACGCGCCTGAGCAAGGCGAACACGATGCTGCCAAAATCGCGGCTCTGCGGCCGTTTTTTGCGAAGTTATTCACCAAAAACTGAACCGTACCTTGGGGCACTTGACCTGACCTCAGAGGTCACCGGTTGACCTGGGACCTTAAAATCGGGTACCAATCTCTGCGTCTCGTAACGGCGCACACGCTCGTTTTTTCCGCGACGCGCTAGCTCCACCAGGGGCGAAACGGCGAGGGGGGTCGTTCCCGCCCACCCCCCCCCCCCCCCCTCGGCCGGCGCGTATGTAGAAAACCAATAGGTCCGGCGAGGGTTAAGAGCAAATAAATGCAAATAAATGCAGCTGAGACTCCCAGTTCTAGCTGCATAATTTCATTTTTGCCGGTTTAGGGTTTATTGAGTAAAACTAACAAGAAATAAGATTTAGTCAGTGAGGATTCAACTGTTTGTGAAAAGAATTATGCAATCTTGTTAAAAATAAAAACACACTTGAAAAGACTTGTTTTCCTGTGAACTGTCACTCGTTCATTGCAGGAGATTACTTGAAGAAAACAGCAAGAGCAGAAGGAAAATTCGGATACGAAAGAAATCCATTCTACTGGAGGCACTCAGTCGAAGAGGATGCTGAGTTCAGAAAAACGCGATGTAAGTTCAACTCTTGGAGACTGAAGAGTGCTAGAAACTTTGTGAATTAAAATTGGAGAGGCATGGAAGTGATGACATTGTAAAACGCAACCATTTTTGCAGTTTCTCTGAAGAAATCCAGACTGGGTCTGACGAAATACCGGTCGGTGTCTACCGGAGAGGAGGTTGGATTTTACCGCAGTGCAAAAAAGTCGTCAGGTCAGCTTTTCGTCGGTGAGTATCGGCAGGTTTTGAAGCGTAAAAGTGTTCAAAATTTGTCAATTTCCAAGACAATTTCTTGCGCGTCTAATGATTATGAGAACTATTGCATTTCTATAACTGATGTTCCACGAGCGACTAACTGGAAGTTTGCATTTATGCTTAATTATGAGTATGAACACGAATATAATTTTGCAAATGGCCCGGAGTGTACAAAGCACATTGATGCACGAGTCAGGCTAATTTAAGCACGAGTGCACAAATAGACGAGCGCAGCGAGTCTATTTGTGCACGAGTGCTTAGCTTAGCCGACGAGTGCATCAATGTGCTTTATATACTCTGGGCCATTTACAAAAACTATTATACCATCCGGTGCATTCTATCGTGCTTTCCCATGTGTTTAAAAGGGCTAATTTTGGGGAGTTGTAAGACAAAAGGACATGGAGGTTTGGGGGGGGGGGACTGTAAAATATACACGCGTGCATAAATCTTTCATTTATTTCTTGAATCGTCAATCGATGATAGGTTTAGAAATCAGCACAATGTTTACACATATATTATATTCGCACTGAACCGGAACGCAATAATAAATTAATGGGGCTTTGCAGTCGCGCCGTACCTTGTAGTCAAAGTTCGATCACCTGCCGGCTCTGATAGTTTTGGCAGCGAATAACTGAGCCTAAAGCACGTGCACTCTGCTCTGCGCCGGCCGTGGCCCAAAATGCATAAATGAGATGCGCCCACCACGTGCACACCGCTAAGCCCATCCCCTCGAAAAGTTGATGTGACAAATAAGTGCACGCGTACGACTTGGCGCGAAAATTTGACCCCCGTAGCCTTTACCGTTCCCGAAAAATAGTCTGTTTTTGCCGTTTCCAATGTTAACCATAGGTGCACGTGAGCACGAGCCAAGGGCGCACCCCAAGCCGCATTACGTCCAAAATCTAATGCAAGCTACGTTGTCATGTGACCCACACACCCTGAAAATTTCATCGCCGTAGGTTAACGAAAGCCGCCACAGTAAGCGCTAAAAGAGCGTACCATACAGTCATAGAGCCGTTCACAAATTTAAATTTGTGCACGGCAACCTTCGAATTTGTAAACGACAAATTCTCAGTGAATGCACCGGACGGCATATACTAATAGTTAATATTTTACAGTGTGTCCATTTGAACATTTTTGGAATAGTGGCTAATTAGTGAGCACAGTGAGCCAGGTAAATGAAGACTCAGCTAGCAAAGAACTCTGTCCTTTTTAGTAAAGCCAACACTGTTCAGTAGCTGCCTCAGTCGTGCTGCTAACGAGTCAGGCTGGCTGGACCTCGGAAAGAAACCCGATACGCTTGAGAAATGCACGTTTGGCTCGACTAGCCGCAACAGCGGCGGTCGGGCCAACGACCTTTCTCTGGCTGCGAGCGAGCGCCATCCAGCGCCATCTACGCAGCCGGGTGCGGCGCGCGTCAGTGTGCGTCAGCTCGCGTCGACGAGCGCACGCGAGTGTTTTTGTTTTGCGGGGCGCACACACGTTTTTGCCATTCTCGCTTCTCCTGGCCCTCCGGTGAGTTGTCAATTGGCGCGGACTACGCCTAGCAGAAAAAGGGGCGGGTGTCCGTCTGTCGATACGTTCATGGCTCTCGTGTTGCGCCTGCAGGGTCGACGCGAATTCCCGGCCCACTCATTGCGCATGAATGCGCCGGCTGCATGATGTATCCCGCGGGGTTCGGTTCTCGGCATAACACTAAGGTGCTTTATCTACGCAATGCCCCCATGTCGGTCACCCCGTCCATTTCCGCCGCAATGATTCTCAGGCCGTCTGTTTTCTTTTCGCTCGGTTATGACACGATGCGTCCCCGTGGTATTGAATTGTTGCTATCATCAGCGCACGTGAATTCTCAATTGCATGCACGCCCCTAGCTTTCCCGATGTAGCTGGTTCGGCCGCTGTGTGTTTCAATGCTGCCCTTGTGTGTGTGCGTGTCAGGCCCCCGGGCATTGTTACCGGGTACCTGCGGCCCGGGGACGGCCATCTTGGATGGATGTTACTGGCGGCGGCCCGCGTCTCGCGCCGTCTTCCTTTGTCTTGCGGGTAAGCGCGACGGCTCTCTACGCGCATGCGCCGTCGGCAGGTGGCGCCGCCCGCTGCGGGCCGGGCTGCGCAGCACGCAGGGCGTCCCTGCCCCTGGGGCGCCTGCGTCGCCCGCCGCGAGCGGCGGGGCCCACCCAGGGTACTGAACGCATGGCCTGGCTGTCGCCAGCGCTGCCTAGCGGCTATATTGGAACTCTGGGTTATGTGAATCGCGCAAGGTGGCGCCACGCTCATGAGGCAGCAGAGCCGCCGCGGCGGCGCTCAGTCGCTGAGCGGCGGGCCGGCCGGCGGGACCCTCTGCTCTGAGTGAGCTATTTGACCGCCAACAGCTCTCTGCGGGAGCTCCCGACCACTAAGAGCTCTGCGTGAGCCGTTAGCTCTGCGTGAGCACTCTTATCCAGCCAGCATAGTATTTGCTCATATCAGCGTCCGTAGCCCGGCATGAGCTTATCAACCGCCCATAGCTCTGAGTGAGCTCATCAACCGCCTATAGCTGCTCTGCGTGAGCTCCAGGCCACCAATCGCTCTGCGTGAGCACTCTATCTCAGCGGGCGCTGTGCGGGCTCATATCAGCGTCAGTAGCTCTGCGTGAGCTCGCCAGCCGACAGCAGCTCTGGGGGTGGACTCGTCACCGTTCCTGCCCTGCGCGAGGTCGACCGCCGCCGCTGCTGGCTCCTTGTCATCTCTCCGATTGCCCTGCGCATGCTTGCTTTTCCCCATGCCGGGTCTCCCTGTTTTATTTGTTTGCGGGTTTGTCTGCTCGTTCTTTGTTTTTACCGCTACGACCGGCCAATATCCCTGCCTCCGCTGCTCATTGTTCATCGGTGCGGTCTGCTCCCCGTATGGGTCGATTGCCTCCCACTTACCGTTCTCCGCTCGTTGCAGATATGTTGATCGTCGGCGACAGTTACGCTTTCTGGTTCCGGTCGCGCTGTACCACCGCCCTGCATGGGGCGGTGGTATATGGCGTTCGAGGCGGCTGCGTCGGGAGCGACGCTTTCCGGCGGGAGGCCATTCGCCGGGCCGTGCAACATCGTGCGCGGAAAGCCGTTATCATGGCGGGCGGCAACGACCTGGCCCGGCCCGACTTTAACGTCCGCCGCTGGATCGCGCAGCTGGAGGAGCTAACGCTCGGCCTCCTCGCTGCCGGGGTAGAGCGGATTTGGGTGTTCCCAATCCCCCCTCGCGCCGTGCTCCGCACGGCCGACATATCGGCGCGGCGTTTCCGGCGCCGGCGCTGGTCCGTCAACAGGATCCTCCGCCGGTTGTTCCGCCGCCAGCCGGTCGTGGTGCTGGTGTTCGTGTTTCCGGCCGATTTCCTGGGGTCGGATGGCGTGCATCCATCGGCGGCCGGGTGGCGGGCTATTGCAGAGGTCGTCCGGGTTGCCACCTCCTCTCCCACGGCTGTCCCGGAGCCCTCTTCCCCTTAACCGCGTGCGGTTCATACAGAGTGGGAGGTGCCATATGTCGGATCCAGCGAATACACTTATGCTGACATTGTTTTTGTTTGTTTCATGGACTGCGGGCCCTCATGCCGCGCGCACGGGCGGCGCCCACACGGGGCCAGATCGCGCCCGCTGCAGCGGCGCTGTCGCCAGGACGCAGGCGCACCAGCGCCCTCCGGCACACCGCCGCCACAGCCACCACCGGCGCCACTATGCGGCAGGCTGCCCCGGGCCGGCCACGGCAGACGATCGCCGCCCGCGCGGCTGCTGGCGCTGCCCGGCGCTCGGCGGCTGATGGTGGCGAGCCGGGGCCCGCTGGCGGCGCCCTGCGGTCAGTTCGGCGCCGGCGTCCCGCTGCTGAGGCCGGCTCATCCGGGACTACAGTCACGGCGGCGGCGGAGGTGTTCAGCTCCGCAGCGCTGCACGACATGCTGCGAGACATGGTTCGCGCTGCCGTCGCCGAGGAGCTGCCCGCCCTTCAGCCGCCACCGATGGAGCCTGCCGCGCCCGTCACGCCAGCGCCCACCGCGCCTGCGCCTGCGCCGCCGCCGCCGCCGCCGCCGCCGCCGCCGCCGCCGCCGCCGCCGCCCGCTCCAGCTGTCGCCGGTACGATTATGCTACCGGCAGCGCTCGCCGTGCCGGGCGCCGCCGCGGCCCCGCCCGTTGAGGCGCCGCCGCCGGTCGTGACTGGTGTCGGCACGCCGCCTGCGACGGGCCCCGACTTCGCCATGCGCGCGGCGGTACCGGCGGCGACCGCGGCATTAATCACGAGCCATGCCTATTTAGATATCGGGTCCCTCCTGGACAATGACGCCCTCGGTGTCGGCGCCGGCCCGACCTTCAGCCTGGTCGACGGCCGTCTCCGGCCCGCCGCTGCTCCGCGCCGCCCCGTCTCACACTTCGGCGCGTGGTGCACCGCGTTTCTGCGCTACGCCGCCGTATACCTGGCCGTCCATCCGGCTGACGCCTCGGGGCTAATAGGGCACATGCAGCAAGTGGCGTCCCTGCAGTCCCCAGGGATGGGCTTGGCCTGGCGGGAGTTCGATGAGGCCTTCCGCCGTGCCCGCAGCCTGCAGCCAGAGTCCCATCCGTGGGGCGCGACGGCAGCCAATTCGCCTTTATGGCTGAATGCTGTCGCGCGTGGAATGTCTGCCGCTCGGGCCGGGCCGGCTGGGCCCTCCCGGGGCCCCCATGGCGCCACCGCTGGCCGGTCGGGGGCCGTTTCGGCGCCCTTTCCGGTCTGCCTCGCCTTCAACAGCGCGGCCGGCTGCAGCCGTCTGTCCTGCCGCTACACCCATGCCTGTCGAGCATGCCGCGGCTCTCATGCCCTGCCCTCATGCCCCCGCCGGCCCGCCACGGCCCTCCCGGGTCCCCGCCGCCGCGACCGCCAGTGAGGCCCCCGCCGTGCCCCGGTCGATCCCGCCTGACCGCCTCCAACGGCTGCTGCGCGGCTACGACCCCGCCAAGGCCGAGGTGCTCGTCGCCGGGTTTCTGTTAGGATTTGAGCTGGGAGGCGTCGATGTTTCCCCCGGTGATGCAGAACTCAATCTCCCTTCCTGTGCGCTCGCACCCGAAGTAATAGACGCATACATCGCGGCCGAGCGTCGGGAGGGCAGAATCGCAGGGCCTTTCTCTTCTCCTCCGCCATGGGTAGTTAAATTCTCTCCCATCGGTCTCATCCCCAAGCGTCAGCCGAATTCATTCCGGGTCATTCATCATCTCTCATTCCCCTCTGGCTCGTCTCTGAATGATTCTATTCCCCCGGAAGCCACCCACGTTCAGTATGGCTCTGTCGAAGAAGCTCTCCATCTTGTTGACTCGTTTCCGACCCCATTTCTCGCCAAAACAGACATTGCAAGTGCGTTTCGGATGGTCCCGGTTCGGACTGCCGATACGGCGATGCTGGGTTTCCGCTGGCGTGGGCAGGCATATGTTGATCTGTGTCTACCCATGGGCTGTGCCAGCAGCTCTCGTATTTTTCAATCAGTCAGTGATGCATTCGTTTGGATTGCACAGACCAAATTCGGATCGGGCCCTATCGTCTCTGTTCTGGACGATTTTCTGTTCGTAGGCGGCTCGGTGGATGAGTGTCGCCGATCCCTGGCGGGGTTTCAAGCCATGTGCCAGTCGCTCAACATCCCGCTCCGTCCTGACAAGACCGTCGATCCCTGCCGGTCCCTGACGTTCCTGGGCGTTATCATTGACGTCGCGAGTGGGCAGCTGCGCCTCCCGCCAGACAAAATCGAGCGTGCCCGCTCATGCCTGACGGGGCTGCTGGCGCGCCCAAAAGCGCCTCTCCGTCTCGTGCGTGAGTGCACTGGGCTGCTAAGCTTTGCGTGCATCGCCATGCCGCTCGGCCGGCCCTTCCTGCGGCGCCTGTTTGACCTATGTCGCGGCGTGTCACGGCCACATCATCGCGTCACCATTACTCGTGCCTACCGGCTGGACATGCGTGCCTGGCTGCTGTTCCTCGCTCAATTTCACGGCCGCTCCTTGCTGGATCAACGTCGCTGGCTGCGCGAGCCGGGGCTCCTAATCGAAACCGATGCCTCCACCTCATTCGGTCTGGGTGCGGTGTGCGGTGCCACTTGGCTGCTGGGTCCGTGGCCGGCGTCCCTCCGGGCGGCACCCATTTGCGTTCTGGAATTGGTGGCAGTGGCGGTGGCCATTTATGTGTGGCGTGACCGCTTCGCTCATCGCTGCGTTATTGTCCGCTGCGATAACTCGGCTGTCGTGGCCTGCATCACGGCTCAGTCGTCCCGCTCGCCGCTGATGATGCAGTGGGTTCGCTTTCTATTTGTAACCACGGTCACTAACGACATCCTCATTCGCGCGGTCCACACCCCTGGTGCCGAAAACGCAGCCGCTGATGCCCTGTCCCGTGGTCTTGTGCAGGTCTTCCGGGCGCTGCGTCCCCAAGCCGACGGTGCGCCGACAACATGGGACTGGCCGGTCTGCGGCACGCTGCAGACGTCGCCGCACTCGCCGAGGCCGCCCTCGCCCCTGCCACCGTGAGAGCGTACCACGCCGTATGGCGCCAGGTGCGGACCTTCCTGCAAATTCCGCCGACGGCCGTCGTCTTTCCCGTGTCAGTGGCCGCCACTGCAGATTTTCTTGCCTCCCGCCATGCCCAGGGCTGTCACTCTGCCACCCTCGCCGCCGCCGCCTCCGCAATCGCCTACGGCCACAAGCGGGCCGGTCTGCCCGACCCTACCGCAGACTTTCGAATTCTTCAGCTTCTGGCTGGCTCTCGGCGCCTCCGGCCCGGAGCCGACCAGCGCATCCCCCTTTCCCTTAACCCGCGCCCTGGTGGGGGGGGGCTATTTTTTGCCCCCCCTCCAGACTTTTCGATATATCTCCAGAACCACTGCGCCGATCGTCACCAAACTTTCAGTACCCTCCCGGACATCAATTTTACACATTGTGACCAAAAATTTTTCCAAAGGCTATGATAGGTTGCCCGGAAATGACGTCAGAGTGACGTCATGTTCTGCCGTTTTCGACCAAAAAAAGGGTTTCGCGGGAAGAGCTGTCAGGCCTATAGCTTTGCAAATACAGAAAAATGATACAGACATAAAAGCTGTAGAATGGACAGGGCTACAAAACTGCTATCTCGGATTTTTGAAATTTTTGGATTTTGACCCCCAAAAATCAAAAAATAGATTTTTTGAATCTAATAGCCAAAAAATCCAAAAAGTTTTTTGAATTTCGAAAAAACCGGAATATATGTGATAGTCCTTACCACCTTCTATCTACATACCAAATTTGAGATCGATACCTCTTTTTTTGGCCAAGTTATAGCGAAAAAACTGTTCAAAATTGATGACGTCAAATTTTCAAACTCAATTTGCAGCAATTCTAGACCTCGTAGCGCAAAACAAAGACCACCATTAGACTCCCCGTGACGAGCTGCATCGAATCAATACCCATTTTATGCAAAAATATCAACTTTGAAATTTGACCTTTTTTGACCTGACCTTGACCTGACCTCGACCAGAAAGTGACCTAAACCGTACCTGATGGTCTTATAACCAACACCATTGAGTTGGAAATGAAAAACTGGCCATAAAACATGCATCGCATAACCTTAGTAAAGTTGGGTTCATGTGGTGACCCTTGGTGACCTTTGGTGACCTGACCTGTGACCTGACCTGGTATGACCAGTGACCTCTAACAGCAACATATCTACTAGGCAACTGACGCCCTATCGCTGATTCCCGACAAAATGCGTTTTCCTCGGTGTTATAGCGCATTCCCTAGAAGACCCGTGAACGGTGAAACATTTCATCTTTGACCTGACCTGTGACGTCATCGGTGACCCCGAGGTCAATAAAATTTGGTTTCCCTCGACAAATTTGACAGGCCTTTCGAACGCCGTTTGAATTTTTCGGATCCGTCCAGTAGTTTCGGAGATACGAGGGGGGGCAAAAAATAGCCCCCCCCCCCCCACCAGGTCGCGTTATAAACAGACCCCACCAGGGCGCGGGTTAATGAGATCGGGCTGCTCTGTGACGCTCTCGCCGGTCTCAACCTATCTCCCCTCGAGCGCGCTGCTTACCGGGCTATTTTCCCGCTAGCCTTCTTTGCCCTGCTGCGGCCAGGCGAAGTCGTGGCCGGCAGGTCAGTGGCGCACACTCTGCGTCTCGGCGGCGTTTGCATCAATGCCTCTGAACTCTCTGTCACGATCCCGTCCTCCAAGACGGCCGCCGCTCCCCAGGTCATCTCCCTCACCGCGCGGCCTGACATCAGCGTGTGTCCCGTCGCCGCGCTCCGTGCATACTTATCTCTGCGCGGCGTCGGGCGGCCGCAGGACCCCCTGTTCATCGGTGACTGTCAGCGCCCGGTAACAGCCCCGGCCCTCACGCGGGTTCTCCGCTTAGCGGGTCGCGCGATCGGACTCGATGTAGCTCGCCTTTCCGGCCACTGTCTCCGTATCGGAGGCGCGTCCCATGGCGCCTCGGTCGGCATGTCTGAACTGCAGCTGTGTCAGGCGGGACGCTGGTCTTCCCGTGCCGTCCGCCGCTACGTGCGTCAGCCTGTCTCCGTCCTCCAGGCGACCTAAACTACCGGAGGTCGCGCTCGGCGAGCCCGTGCCACGCCCCCTGATAACCCAGACGCCGTTATTCCGGCCGCCGTTCGTGTTCGCGGTCGCTCGCATAGCCCAGATTCAGTGCTCGGACTGCCCGTTTACGTTCCACCCTGTGCGACCACTGCCCTCGTGGCGGAGCGGCAGCCTTCGCTGCCTGTTTGATGGTCCAGTAGGATGGTCCGCCGCCTCCGGCGGAGCGGGAGTCACGCCCAAGGTGTCTCACCATCTTGGTCCTCTGCCTCGGTGCGTGCATCTCCGACGTGGCGTGTCTGTCGGTGCTTGTGTGTTTTCCCTTTTTGTTTTGTTTTAGTTTTTTTTTTGCCCGCTGCCTGTTATCGGGCCGGCAGCGATCCCCCGCGTCGTGCGTAGCGGTGGCCGGCGGCCGTTTCGGGGCCGCTAACTGGACCGCCGCCTACATGCGGAGCGGCAGCCCCGCTGCCTGTTTTGTGGTCCAGCTCGTCGGCCCCCCACGCCCCTCGGCGTAGCGGTCGCCGGCTGCCTGTTTTAGGGTCGCTACCGGCCGCCGCCCCTGGCGGAGCAGCAGACGGTCGCTAACCGGTGTTCCACAGGCCGTAATGTTCATCGTTCATATATATGTGGCACGCAACCTATTATCCCTTTCTGTTAGAACCGTATTCTCCGCCGCCTCCGGTCTCGGGTGGGGGAGATGGGCGGTTACCCTCGCCCAAAGACATGAGTGGAGGGGCACCAGTCCAATACATTGACCCGTGACCACCAACGATGTCTTTGCGAGCGCAAGCGGACGGAGAAATGCACGTTTGGCTCGACTAGCCGCAACAGCGGCGGTCGGGCCAACGACCTTTCTCTGGCTGCGAGCGAGCGCCATCCAGCGCCATCTACGCAGCCGGGTGCGGCGCGCGTCAGTGTGCGTCAGCTCGCGTCGACGAGCGCACGCGAGTGTTTTACCGCCGCCACCCCGCCACCGCCGCGTTACATGTCCCATTTCTCCATGTGAGTGTTTCCCTTGGCTATGTATTGGTCTCGTGTGTACGGCGGTTACCCTCGCCCAAAGACATGAGTGGAGGGGCACCAGTCCAATACATTGACCCGTGACCACCAACGATGTCTTTGCGAGCGCAAGCGGACGGAGAAATGCCTGTGCGCCTGCGACACTCACACTGCAAAGCGAGGCAAACAGAAAGCAGCTCTTCATGTGGCAGCAGCCATCTTGCAGAGGTCAGTGCTACAGCACATGTGATTGGTCATGCACAGCACACATGCAGTTTCACATGAGTCGGTGACTGTTCAGCACACTGATTACGAGCGAGCGAGCGCAGCGAGCGAAGCGAAGTCTTTTCAATATAAGGGGAAAATCTCAGTATGAGCGGCCCGGCCCGGCCCGGCCTGTAACGCTTTTGAGAGGCTTATATCTCAGCAACCGCTGGACCGATTGGCCTGCGGTCTTTTTTGCTGGGTAGCCCCATCCCTTCTACCCCGTAATTGACTACTTTTGATACATCTCAGTGACCGTCGTGGCACGTGCCACGTGAAAAGTCAAGGGTGTTCAAGCAGTTTTGCAAAAGTAATGATTTTGAGAGGCCCATATCTCAGCAGCGGCTTGGGCGATTGTCTTGCGGTAATTTTTATAGGGTAGCTGCATCCCTTCTACCAAAGGTTGGATACTCTTGATCTATGTGAGTGACCCCCACTGCACGTGCAAAATACAAAAAGAAGAGGTGCCAAATTTGTTCCCATTTCAGTAACTCGGTAATTACTAGGGCGATTTCGCTGAAACTTGGCATACAGGTAGGCACCCACCAGGCAATGCATTACCATTTTTTTTTTTGCTCCGCCAGCCTAAAGCCAGTCTGGAGCCGGGGGTCATTACATCTGGCAATTTTGGCCAGGAACAAAGTTTTACGTTAAGCCGGTTTATGTGAACCCGGAAGCAATAGCAACGTGGGAGCCTATCCTTAGCGTGTATGAGCAAATCTAATGGGGAACTTACTTTTGCCACCATGTGTTGCGGTTAGGGTGCTACTGCACGTGCGCACGTGCAGGGGGCGCTTCGAGATCTCGAGAACGGCTGGGCCGATTGCGCTCAAATTTGGTACACGGTTGGGGACCGGTTAGTAGGGTGCCGTGCAAAAGTCATTTTGGACCCCGTTTGCACGTGCGCACGTGCAGAATGCCGCTTCGAGATCTCAGGAACGGCTGGGCCGATTGCGTTCAAATTTGGCACACCGCTAGCGACCGGTTAGAAGGGTGCTTTGCACAAGCCCGTTGGAAGTACCCTCTCGCCCTTCCGCACGTGCAGGGCTCACTATCTCGCTCGCTCGTTCTTCGCCCAAAAGGCGTTTTACTGGTTATGACTTGCTATCGATTTTGAACCGTATAGATGGTGTGTGTCAGTCATACCTATGGGTCGCGATGGATAACAAGCAACAACACTTTGTTTTCTTTACCTCTTTGTTTTCCCTATGACTTTTAATCCGTCTGACAAGATACCTATTTGACAGAGAGAGGTGTTTCTGCTCCTTTGGGATTCCGAAGCTGCAAAACGTCGTCGCCACCATCCCGAAGCCTGCCAAGTGTCCAAATGGAACAGTTTCAGAGGCATACATCAAACAATATAGTGATCGGATCATAAAGCAATTCTGCGATGGCGTCAAAGCAGACGATGGTGAGAGCTATATTGGTTCTACTGCTTGCTGCTGTATGTACTATACTCGTAAACGTATAAATTTCAGCAGCTATCACAATGATTTCATTGACAGGGATTGCGCTATAATGTCATCAGAAGATCATTATTTTTTGCAGTATCGTCTGTGTTTTCAAATGTCTACGACTGATTTTTATTTTTCAGGAGAGAATGTCACATTCCCTGGTGGAATAGGAAAGTACTCTGTCGACAGTGCAGGTCCTTTTGCTAGTTACTCGACCATCGGAAGATCTTTTTCGCATCTCACTTTTCTTGGTGAGTGTTTTACATTTGCCAATTGCACCTAGCAATATTCAAAATTAATTTAAAAAGGCGTAAAAACAATGTGAGTGGACATTGAAACTTTAAGCCGTCAATTTTAGAATAAGAAACCTTACCAATACCCATAGTAACAAAATTTAGTCAAAGCCCGTCTGTTGATGTAAATTTGCTGCATCTTACAAATTGTCTGCTCCTTTGTCTGCACCTTTTGCTGTACTGAGTCTTGCCAAATTGTAAAACAATGCCCCTTTGTGACTCCCTATGTTTTTACATTGGTATATGAGATGAAAATTGAGATTGATCTTTTTCAGCATCGGCAAAAGAACATAAGGCGATGTATCGCGGAAATTACACCGTAACTCGTCACCAAAAGGAAGGCGTCGCCGGAAATGGTCAGCGAGTGCTGCTAGAAAAAGGTAAAGTTATGTTTTTTTTTATTGAAGGTCTCTCCAATCATCACATATTGTCACTAAACAATATGTAGCCGTTTTCACGACGGCCATCTGATACACATTTGGTGCAGATTAGGTGCAGGTTTGGTACAGATTTGATCGAATTAGGTTCACTGTGTTTCTTCAACCCACGAGCCGCTGGGGGGCATAAAGTTGCCCCCCTTTACTTTTTGTGAAATATCTCCGAAACCTGATGAGCTACGAACGTGAAACTTGGCATAGCTTCAAATGAATACCTAGGCAATGTATGTAGGCAATGTTTGAAAAAAAGTTTGGTGGTTGTAGCACCTAAGATGACGTCACAGTGACGTCATAAAATTTTGTCGTTTTTCGATATGGACCGTTTCTGATGACGCTGAGCATGAAACTCAACTGTAAATGAACTAGACAGCACCTGCTGTCATTCTAAAACATCTAACTACACTTCCATCTAGTTTCTGACCAATAATCGACTCTTTATATTCGGTCCTTTATATCTGATGTATCGTGAGGAATATGAGAGTCGCAAATCTATAATTTCACTTATGACATCACTGTGACGTCATTTCAAATGGGATCGACACCAAATTTGGACACAACCTCGGCTAGGTATTCAGAAAGATGTGTACAAAGTTTCGTTTTTCTATCTCTTCGCGTTGCGACGATATCGTCACAGAAGTAAAGGGGGGCAACTATATGCCCCTCCCCCTCAGCGGCCGGCGGGTGGCGCGGAGGCCCAGCGGCCGCCGGGTTAAAGTTGTCAGTTTGGGTTGCACAGATGCTTATACTTTATAGTCCTCGTTTTTCAAATTATTAGACATCATTTCCGATTAAAATACTGAAATAAACTCATAATATGAAGATATTTGTTGTAAAAGGGATTTGGGGCAGATTTGGTCAAATTAGGTGCATTCGCCAGATAGCCCGTCGTAAAAAGGGCTAATATATTTCACCTCACTTGCAAACAGTAACACGTATGTCATAAAGATAATTGTCATGCACAGTCATCCGGAATGGATTCTTTGAATGATGAGCTGATTGGAACCATGAGATTCTAACGGTGTGATAAAAGGAAGCGTTGCTATTGCACTCAGTGTACACCGATGATTAGTGCCATCAGTTATTTTACTTTTGCTATGAATTATTGGTATGATCTGGTAGTCCCATGGGTGATTTGTCAGTTACTTATGTGCGCCATATGAGCTGAATTTGTCCGGCAGATGTGTTCCCGAGAATGTTCCGTCTACGAATCATCACGGCCGAGAAGTACCACTGGAAAGAGGGAGTCGCCGTTCTCAGTTACTTTGAAACTAGCACAGGTATGCGTGCTTTTGAGCCAGCTAAAACGGGAAAATAAGCCACGCATGGTGCGATAGGCTATCGGTGATATGGTGACCGTTGTATGACCCAGCGCCACCCTACACAGCCCCTCCGACGGGCAGTGCCCTCTGTAGCTCATCGGCAGCTCTGAGTTCACACTGTTTCACGCCCATTGGCTGAGTCATGGACTTCAATACATACCGAGGACCATGGCAGGGGGATCATTATCGTGACTCGTGAGTCTTGCGTGGTGTTGCGAGGTGGATGTTTCATAAAGTTGTAGCCTTTTGGTACCATTACACGGAAAGTCCGTTCCATTTTTCGATCTCGCGAATACTTCTATGATGCAATATTTATGTAGGGATGCTTTTGTAAACATGAATGACTCGAACAAAATAAAGACGGCAATAAAAATGTATTGATTTTTTAGGGGCTTTCGGTGAGCCACAAGATACAAAAATGCGTTTCGTGACACTTTGGCGCCATGTCTTCTTTATGCAACATGTTGTGATGAACGGATGAGTGCGTGACCACCACGGCCAATCGTGTCCAGCTCCGTTATGCACACCCAGCGCCCTGTCGTGTACCCCGTGATCGTGCCGACGCGACGGTTGATTAGTAAAGTGGGGCTCCACTCTGGGGACCCAGCTGTCCACAATGACCAGCACTAACACTGGACAGTATCCTGAAGCAGTCTGGACTTCAATGTGGACATGACAAGCAGTCCTCCTACCTTCCACGAAATTCTCCCCCCCGCCCCCTCCGGCGACTCAACACGCTTCCTTCCTAGAGCACTGGCACACTTTTTAAGCCTGCTGGTGTGCACATAAGGGCTGTACTCAGCACGACACACGCGCACGGATTCGCCGGAACACCTTTCGGCCTCGGTGGACACGCGATCGGTTTGCGTGGGCTTGCGACATGCCCACGCTCGGCCATGTACTCGATAGAGATTTACGACGAGCGGCGCCAGCTCGGCGCCTTCTACGGGCGATTCGACAGAGCCGTTTGTAATTATCGGGGTCGTATTACCACCGTCAGGATGGCGGCCGATGAGGCGTGCCACATTTGGGGACACTGGAAGAATAGTGTTAGGCTGAACCAAGGAAATCAGGTGGCCATCAAAGTGCTGATTCACGCCAGTCAGGGGGCGCGACTAAGAGCATACATGCGCAAGAACTTCCTGGCGTTTTACAGGCGTTGTCGGGGACTCAATAAAGTCTCATTTCCTCTGATATCTTTTTCATCATCCTTAGGATGTAGGTACTCATTCTCTTTGCTCGCTAATTGCCTTTTCCGGGCTGACTCATCATTTCCAACGGTAATCGTTAGTGAATGCTCATTTTAATTAATTAATTAATTTTTGAATTTTCGATTTGAATTGAGGTCAATTGGAACTCAATTCATGCTCAATTTCAACGGGATCAGTCGATGAGTGTGGTGGAATCTGAAAATTAAACCGTGGATAATTTCTGGGTACCTGAACTTACACTGACCTAAAAATCGATCGAAGTGCCCTCATTTTTTTTTTTGTTGTTGTTGAAGCCTCATGAACGCCGCCTGACGCTTGCCACATGTGTGTTGCCTGCATGAACAGAGACAGGTATACAGATAAAACGTCCCCGTCCCATCAGGGAGCGCGGGAATTTAGGAGCAGTAGTAGGCTGCTAAATGAAAGAAACATATCGTTTTAATGTCTTACTGGATAATCATCTTTTCTATAAGAAAAAAATAAATAATAAAAAAGATACAGCAAGCGTGGCTAATACCTCAGGCTGTCATAGGTCAGCTAGATCTTTGCCTACATGTTGTCTATCGAGCACTAAGCTGCTTTTACAGATCTGTGTCACCACATCATTAGCGCCTCTGACCGCTCTCCGCCGGCCGGGGATGAGTGTCGGTCACTGGGACAACAGTTCGGGAGATGAGGGTCGTTTGAAGGGAGTGATCTTCACCGGATGGATCGTAGCATTACCTCGGCCGTGCTACCCTCCACTGGTGTCGTCAGCTAAGGTTACCTATAGCTCCGACGACCTTAAAGTAAAGATCTCTAACATTTGCGATAACATGATGGCTTTGACTTTCCTGTGCAGCATAGCCTATTGAGCTGCCAGTTTATAATTCTATCATGCTATGTAATACCAGTAACGTGCCTATTCGAGGCATTTCAATCCGAAATCAATCGAAAAACTGATGTGCTGAACTCACCGCTCAATATAGTTATGTATATCTAATCTCATTAGCGTCGCCACGGGGGGGGGGGCAAGCGGGGCAGCTTGCCCCCCCCCCCAACCTCGGACCGGGCACCCCCTGAGATCGATACAGATCCGATGAGATTTGGGAGTCGGGAAAAAATGGGGGTACCTTTCTGAGAATGCCTATCAGGTCAGACTCGGTTGAGCGTGAAGTTCAAACCAGAGTCGCAGTCGCAGTCGCCAAAAAGACTCCGATTCCAGACCCGGAAATATCAATGCTGTGACTCATTCCCTGTTCCCAGTTGGTTCTGTATTACATTTTATGCCTCATTTTCATCAGTTTTGGAGTGCTGACACATAATTTTCGTTCAAAGCGTGACACGAATTTTCGGGGCCTTTCTCAACTCTGGCCAAAGTCTGCGAAAGGCTCAAGTACCGTTCAAGTGCGGCATGGCGCATGAGCTTGGTTTTCACAAAGGCTCCTAAGGAGCTCCACTGAGCTCTAAGTAGCTTTCAGAGGGCCCAAACCGGCCTCTGAGAGTCCCACTGGTGTCCATGTTCTCTGAGGGCCCAATACAGGGATCTTTGGGGACCTTATATATGCGTAGACCTCTGAAGGGTCACATGAATCTTTGAGGATGCCTTCGAAAATTTCTGAGAACCTTAACTGGCCTCTGATAGTTCAGACGAACTTTTGAGGCGACAGACTTTGCTAACCCCAAGCCGGCATCTGGGGGGGGGGGGGGGTGAACTCAGGTGTCTCTCTGAGGGCAGCGACACATGTTTCTTATATCCCTACGTATAGGGTCATTAGGGATTCGACACAAACCCCGAGGGCTCACACTGTTATCCGAGGGCTCCAGGCTCACCCTGAGCCTAGTCTCTTGGCGCCCGCCGCCCACACTGGCTTCTGAGGGCCTCACCTGGGCTCGGAAAGCCCTAAAGCACCACATACACGTAAATATTTGGGGTGACCCACGCCGATCTCCGGGATCCTAAGCAGGCTTCTGAGAGTCCACACTGACCCTGAGTGGCCTGAAATGGCCTGGAAGTCCCAAGCCTATCTCTAAGGGATCCCTTGCCGCTATGCCGTGCGTAACTTTTGGTTCCGTAAGGCATTTTTTGTTCGCGATTGCAGCGCTTCCCTTCCCACGAAAAACGATAACCTTTTTGTTCACACTCGAGTGAACAAAACACTTCCCTGGAGCAAAGATGAATTACTTCCGACTTACACTTCCAACATTCACTCCGCCGAATGCCCAACTTAGCTGCAATCGGGGGCTGGGATAAGCCCTTATGCATTTCACGTAAAACCTCTGCACACATGCGTGAATGTTTGCAGAGGTTTTAGCAGGGTGATCCGATTTAATGGAGCATTTTTCATCTTTTTCTGGGTGATTGATCATGAGCGACGAGCGTCTGCACAGGGTCCCTCTGCATTGCGTCGGCAATGGCAGCCACTGTAATTTTACCGGTCGTTTTTGTCCAAAAATTTCAAAATTTCGAATTTTTCTGTAAAAAATTACATGTCATAGCTAGAGGGAAAATTTTGTCACCATCGGATTCCTCGCACCATTGCGCGTCGAATGATATGTAAAACAAGTGAGTACCGACTGGGGAAAGGCAAGATTTAACACAAAAGTTGGTTTTGCCCCCCAACCGAAAATCTCTGGCGACGCCTATGTCTAATCTATATGTAGTATGCGCACTTCTCTATACGTCAGGATAGAAGTACTTGCTCAGCTCCCTCGCTTTCTTTTCGGCGCCACCATGACTAATGCGTTCTGGAATGATATATGTAAATTGTAAAGTGAAAACATGTTTGTGATTTGTGTGAGATGAAAAACAAAAATCACTTCTTCTTGTTATGATCAGGCAGCGAGAATCATGGATCTAAAAAGAAAACACTTGCTGGTCAGCGATGGGTCACCTGAAGGTGACCTCCACGTCGGCACCGGTCCCTGACCGCGGCACCACGACAGAGCGGTCAAGGAGCACGTCTTATAGAATGTCTTGTTGACCGACGTGACCTGGTGGCACTAGCACCCGAAATAAGACACCGGCACAGTAACCACCGAGTAACTCAGCCGGTGTGACACTGCGCCGCACAGGAGGTCCACAGGATTGTGTTCCACGACACACGTCCCCGGCTCACACGCTCTCTGCAGTTTAGATGTTTTGCGGCGGTCACGAGAAGCGTCTGCTCCCGCTGGGATTTCTACCTGCACTCTGCAGAGGTCGACCAGCGCCAGCACAGCGTCTTTGCTCGCGTGGGGATTAACACTGTCCAGAGGAACCACCAGGTGTTGGCGCAGTTACCAATAGTTATGTTATTTCAAAGGTCAAAGTGAGGAGGCACCGAATACCAATCGCTGAACACATTGCCGAACAGTTGGGCGCGTCTCTCTCAATCTTACAGCATATCCTCGGTTTCTGGCTACACCAAACTTTGCTTTTAAAACGCCTGGACCAGTTCAATATGTTCCGAGCATTCAGTGGCCACGCCACCCGGTGGCATCCATTCACGATCGCCATAGTCCCGGACGGCGGCCGTCGGTGAGCAAACTCCCGCGACCGGGGGCCGGCGTCGGCGGCGACGGTCGGCAGTCGAGACCGACGCTGTCGGAGGACGGAGGCGTCCGGTACCGCGCTCCGCTCGGGGAGAGGCGATCGGATGGAGTGTAGTGACGAGTTGGATGGTGCACGTTGTGGTCTGTGCGGAGTGCGGTGATTGGTGATCTGTTGCTGGTGTGAATGACATTGATGATAGGCGAGAGCAGCTTATTGTGATCACCTATATTTAGCCGTATACGGTAAGAATGACGTCGCATAGATATTCAAACACAAGATGTAGAAGTATCAAGTAACTAATCAAAAGCTTTGTTTTTCATGCATCCACATACCTATGCACTTTGGACAAAAGAAATCCAGTGATAACATGATAAAAAAGAAATCCATCTTAGATGCGCTAAAAACGTAACTTCAAACGCACTTTAGGAATTTCTACCCCAACGTTTTTGGGTCAATGTTTTTTATGTCGATATTGGCCGTTTTCACGACGGGCTATCTGGTGAATGCGCCAAACTTGAACAAATGTGCACCTAATTGCTACTTTAGAAAATATTTTCAATCTTCATATTATGAATTTATATCAGTGTTTTATTCGAAAACAATGTCTAATAATGTGAAAAATCAGGTATATTATTAGCAACTGGCAACCCAA